CCCGCGTCGATAACAGGCAGCATGGCGGTCCGGCCCCCCAGCGCCAACACACAACCCGGACGCAGGTTCCCCTCATGTTCGAGCCGTGTGCACGGCGCCGCCTTTGACATTACCGGCAAGGGGCGGCCAAACCGTTGGCAACCGTCCTGGGGGGGGGGGGGCCCCGTTGGCATGATGCTCGACCACTTCGCGGGCATGACTCCGCCGACCGCGTCAACGCCCGCCCGCCCTGCGAGTCTAGAGCAGGCAGAGAAAGAGCCGCTCGGGGAAATGAGGAACAGGCAAGAGAGGGGGAAGCGGACGTTGTCCGAGGAGGGGGTAGTAGTGTCCGAGCCTCCTACCCATTTAGCTTATTCTACTAGAGAGGATAGCAGGTTGACTTCCAATCGGGAAGGGGTGGGCGACGATGTTATACGCTCCTGCGATAGCCGGCTGCCGCATCGCGCCGCACGGATTACCATTGGCCCGGGGACTTGGCAACGGTGCCATCTATCAGAGCCTGTTTACAATCTTTTAGGATTAGAAACAGAAGGCAAGCACCACCATTTGAAGCTGGTATTTGAGCTTTCATTTCGCAGTTCTCCAGATTGTCGGCGGCACTTTTCCGCCAGTCCAGCCCGAAAGACCGCTCCACCACCCAATTCGATTCGGGCAGCACCACGAAGGTGTGCAGGTTCGCTGGCGTTTTTCCACTTAAACCGGGGATCCCAACAAGCACTTGCACCGAGTGGCAAAGGGCTTCCCGGTTGAACCCCCGTCGACAAGCACGTTCCGCACCGATGGAGGTCGTCCCGTTTGTCCAAAACGCCAAAAGCCTCGGCGGTTTAGGGTAACGTCGGCCGGTAGTCCCGTGTATTGCATGGGGCAATTCCTTGCGTGTCCACCGCGATGTGACGCCTTGGGATTACGGACACTTCTGGCCCTAGCGTATAGGCCCTTGCTATCGGCGGTTTTGTCCGTGTTTCTTGACGCTCTGGGACGTCCACGATACAGAAGCTGGTTGCTCTTTCCGTCCATTGCTTTGTTGGGGCCCCCGCGCCAACCGATTTTTTTAGGGACTTGCTCCAGAATGGAAGTTCTGACAAGGAAAGGGCAGCTCGATCACAATTGCCGGAAATACTTTGTAGCAAGTGCGCCAATTGGGGAAGTCCAACGGGAAAGAAAATTAGAACATTGGAAACAAGCAGGGTAAAGATGGTTACAAGTTAAGAAGCAAGAGAAAAAAACGTCATTAATAAGTAAAGGTGAGGGGATATGTGATGGTGAGTCAGGCCGTCGGGCCGACTCCACGTCGGCCAGGGACATGCAGATGTACGGGCGAATTGCTCCACCCGGCTGATGCCTGCGGATAGAGAAATGAGAAAGATTACCCCTCCACGGATAAAGTCTCAATTTAACCTATTTCAGAGATCGTAGACAGGCTATCAGGGACAAATCCCTCGGAAATCAGAAATAATGTTCTGATATAATGCGCCACTATGTCGCTGAGGTGGCATTTTGCTTCGGATCCACACCTCTTGCGGATCGAAACTGCCGACGGCGCGACTGCGCACGACACGACCCTCGTCATTCTACGACGAGGTTTCGCCTCTTTCCCGCATGTCGATGCCCGCCGGCGTGGGCGCCCGCCGGGATGCCGCTGACACACGCCTGCAACGGTGCCCCGCTGTCATACCCTCGCTGTGAGCGCTGACGTTTTCGCCACTACGCGAAGGTATCCGTAGTGGGCAGCAATCGTCGCCGTCTGGAGCGGACCGGCGGCGGCGTGGAGTGGAAGACGCCGCAGGCGCTCGGTTGCGCTTACGTCGCCGTCAAAACCATGGAGCGACGGACCACAGGTTCGCAGCCGACGCATGCGCGATCACTGACCGCGCCGCGGGAGCGTGCTGTTACCAACGACTGAAATGGTGTGCGTCAGGATGTCGGACCGGGAAATTCCCGGCCGATGCGCCGCAAGCAACGGCCCGCCACACCAACCGCGCACGTGCCGACTCCACGATGACGAATCCGCCACGGCAGCGCTTGCCATGGCCCCCGTGTCGTAAACTAAAAACATCACTGCCCATAGAACGTACGCCGGCTGGCAGTGCTCTCACCACAGACCTCGGCATCACAAACATCTGGGCAGGCGTCGGAACGATATGACTTGTATCGCCGTCAAGGCTGTGGGTGCGGCGGTGGGCGACGCTGTAGACCGCTGGCGTATGGCAACTCGCCACGGCAATCGCGGACAGCCCACGACCGGCCCGTGAGTTGCCAACGAGTTCGCGTATACGCCCGGAGCCTAGACCAGCTGGCAATCGCCGTCAGCGTAATACCCGCGCCAGATCCGGCGAAAGCCCACCGCGCGATTGCCGCCCGGCTTGCTCGGCAAATGACCGCTCATTAGACGGCCGATTTTTTCTCCCGGCAAACGTTGAGTTGTGTTGTTGTTTCTCATGACGCGAAACCGAGTCTCATCGCCACGGCTATTTGAGCTCAGGATGCAAAACCCCGAGGGTTCGACTTTGTGTCTTTTTGTTTCCAGCCTTCCCTTCCAATCAAGATTACTTCTCGCTGCCGCGAAAACACACCGCCATGTCCAGCGTTACGCGAACAAACACATGCTCCCAGGGTCCACGGTCTCAAACGCTTACAGAGCTCGTTGCCGCAGACAGGTGCCAACAGGGCTGGCCCGCGTCACGAGTGTTAGCCTTAGTGTCGTCCTTTATGCGCGGTTGGCAGCTCGCGGTCACGGGACACGCGCGTTCCGGCGATAAAACTCCCAGTCGATCCGAGCTACCAGCAGCCGCGCAGAAAGAAAACCATGCCCTCGCGAGACAAAGCGCGATCCATCTCTGCATTCAGCAGGTTTGAGGACATATGATCCAGGTCAACCCGGCCAGTAGTCCGGATGATGCTGCATACCCTGCGGACTCGCGAAGGCGAGTACGCAACCACCGCGGATGATTTTGTCGTCGACGTCAGGCAGCGCTCACTCGTCGCGCGCTTATGCTCAGAAAAACCGAGGTCACCAAAGCCCCGGGCACGACGCGCCTCCAGTATCGGGAATACCAACGCATGCCACGCTGGAGGCGTTACGATGGCGGCACAGGGCTACTATTATGCCCCACCGTTGCAGGTCCTGGATGCGTTCCTCAGGTGTTCGTGGGGCTGCGCTGAATGGGCGAATTTCGGCCACCGTTCTTCCCGCGGTACGAAACCGTAACCGCTCTGCCCTCTCGCACGTGGCGCAGCACCTCGGAAATTTCGCTTTGGCTTCGTAGTGAATGAGTTGAATAAGTGATGTCCAAGACGTTATAACCAGTCAGGCTAGTGCAACAATCGTACGGCCCTTGCTTGATCCAACGGGGTTCGCAATCTCCCCAATTCGTCGGAACCCCGCGTAGGGTAAGCGACGGAAGTGGGCGATCCGACTGGCGCTTATCCCAACATTGCGCGGCTCACCAACCCCCGGTATCATGCTGGGATGTGTTCCGCCGGCGTCATCCCAGCGCTTTCTCCGGCGGACGCGACATTGGAGGTTTGGCTATGACCGTGATGGTAACCGGCGGCACCGGATTTATCGGCAACCGCATCATTCGCAAGCTGGTGGAACGGGGCCAAGATGTGCTTGTTCGACCTGCTCCCAGCGGGCTAACCTGCAACCCCTGCTGGACCGGATTTCCATCTACCGCGGCGACGTTACCCGCATGGACCACCTGCTGGAAGCGATCAACAGTCATAATGTGGACCGGATCATCCACATGGCGGCCCTGTTGCCACCCGATACCGAGGACCGGCCCGCTACCGGCATGGCCGTCAACATCGACGGCACCAACAACGTCTTCGAGGCAGCCCGCTGGGGCAATATCCAGCGCGTGGTGTATGCCAGCAGCATCGCGGTGTACGGTGTGCAGGACACCTTCGGCGACCGCCCCCTCACCGAGGACGACCTGGCCGCGCCCATCAATGTTTACGGCATGACCAAGGCCGTCAACGACTTTGCCGCCGCCCGCTACCGCACCCTCCACGGCCTGGACATTCGGGGCGTGCGCATCTGCACCGTCTTCGGCCACGGGCGTGTCACCGGGATGACCGGCATGATCGGTGGCCTGATGATGTCTTTGCCCGCCATCGGCCAGCCGGTGGAGATGAACTTCGATCCCCGGGAAGCGTCGCCCATGATTCATACCGAAGACGCTGCCGAGATTTTCGTGCGCGTGGCACTTGCCGACCAACTGAGCCACCACATTTACATCAGTGGCGGAGAACTGGCCACCATCGCCGACGTGGCCGATATCGTGCGTTCCTACATCCCCGACGCCAGCATCCGCACCGGCGACCGCCCGGTTCCCCACGTGTACCTGGTGGACAACAGCCGCATGATGGCTGATGTTGGATACGAGCTGCCGCCTCTGCGTATGCGCGTTCTCGATCACATCAACGACGCTCGCGCCGAAGCCGGCCTGGAGCCGATATCGGGTAATGTCCCTCAATCCTGGCGAAAGTATCAACGGGAAGGGGGTTCACGCTTGGTCACTGCGGGCGAAGCGCGGCTAACCCTGGTAGAGGGATGAAGCGAAGACGCTCACGCGTACCCGCTTTATGCTGTCATTGCGAGGAGCACGGCGACGTGGCAATCCCGTTACCACCCCCACCGGGCCGTTCGTCCTGAGCCTGTCGAAGGATCGTCTACGTGTGTTCGGCCTCATCGAGATTGCCAACCCCCGCATCGGGTACGGGGTCGCAATGACATTAGGGGACAATCGAAAAACCCTGAGAGGGATGGGCCAAGGCGGACTACCCCGCCGTCATTTGCTACAATACGCCGCAACTACCCGTTTCAGTAATCAACCGCCGCCAAGGAGGCCAACACCATGAGCGTTGCCATAGGCTATGTCCCCGGAGCCTTCGGACAGGGGGGCAATGACCCCTCCTTCCTGCGGACGCTGGTGGAGCTGGGCGACAAATACGAGTACGACTCCATCTGGCTCAGCGACCGCATTTGCAGCGATCGCTTCAGCCTGGAACCCATGGTCGCCCTGTCCCTGGTGGCCGGTTACTCCGAACGCCTTAAGTTCGGCACCAGCGTCCTCGCCCTGCCTCTGCGGAACCCGGTGGTTCTCGCCAAGCAAGTTGCCACGCTGGACTGGCTGTCTCAGGGCCGGTTCTTCCCCGCGGTCGGCCTGGGTCAGGAAGACCCCGACGAATACGAAGCCTGCGGCGTGCCCAAGGCCGACCGCGCTCGCCGCACCGACGAGGCCATTGGGCTGATGCGCCGTCTGTGGCAGGAGGAATACGTAACCCACGAGGGCGATTTCTTCACCACCCACAACGTCTCGGTTACGCCCCGCACGTTCCTGAAACCCTCACCGCCAGTCTGGATTGGCGGTCGGAGTCCGGCGGGCGGCCCGGCGTGTCGGTCGCGTCGGCGACGGATGGCTGGTCTCCAGCGCTACTCCCGAGGAGGTGCGCTCCGGGCGCGAGATCGTGTTCGAAACCGCTCAGCAGTACGACCGCGAAATCGAAGAAGACCACGTCGGCGTTCTCATTGGTTACTACATTTGTGACGATCAGGAGGCTGGCGAAGCCAAAATCCGAGCAGTTCGTCACCCGTCAGCGTCCCGACGCCCATTTCACCGAATATTCGGCCGTCGGCACCTCGGAGCAGATCGGTGATTTCATCGAACAATATGTGGACGCCGGCGGGTATAAATTCGTGATTCGTCCCCTCTGCTCCGGCACCGAATCCATGGAGCAGCTGGAACAGGCTGGCGAGGAAATCCTGCCCCGTTTCCATGGCCCATTGAGTAGCAACGCCTGATCCCCTCTCCCTTGACGGGAGAGGGTTCGAGCCTGCCCCGTACTTGATACGGGAGTGAGGGTGCAACCGCTCGACCCATAAATCCTGCCCGTCCAGCCCATCTATGTAAACTCAAGGAGAATACTGATCATGAAAGCAGCCCAACTCGTTGCCCCCAAGCGTTGGGAATTCACCGACGTCGAAACACCCACCGCCGCCGATGGGCAGGTGCTGGTCAAGATGGAGCGTCGTCAGCGTTTGCGGCTCCGACATCCGCCATACCTACGGACCGGTGCTCGACGAGTCGGAATACCCCCTGGCTCCTTGCCGTGGCGCCCATGAACTGGCCGGCGTCATCGTCGACAGCAAGACCGAGGAATATCACGAGGGACAGCGTGTGATCGTAATCCCGTTCCCCGGCACCGGTGGGCTTTGCGAATACGTCCTTTCGCGCCCCGGGTCGCATCGCCGTCCTGCCCGAATACGGCGGCCTGGACGAATGGGTCCTGTGCCAGCCTCCCGGAACCGTGCTCTACTCCTGCCGACAGATCGGCAGCCCGTTGCAGCAAAACATCCTGATCTTTGGACAAGGCAGCATCGGCCTCAGCTTCACCATGATTCTTTCCCGCATGGGCGCCCGCAACGTCATCGTCGTGGACCCGCTGGAATACCGACTCGAAAAGTCAAAGCAGATGGGTTCAACCCACCGCATCAATCCCGACACACAGGACGTTCACGAAGCGGTCATGGAGATCACCAAGGGACGCGGGCCGGACGTATGCGTGGAAGCCGCCGGCTACCCGGATTCGCTCAACGAGTGCTTCCGCCACGTGCGCCAGTTCGGTCAGGTGATCGTGTTCGGCGTGCAAACCGACCACATGGTGCCCATTGAGCACAACCTCTGGATGGACAAGCACCGCGCATCACCCCCACCACCGGCGCCCGCAGCGGCGACCCCATCAGCCAGATCCAGGACATGGTCGATCTGCGCGCCCGCGGTTGGGCCGACCCCGCCGAGTTGATCACCCACCGCGTCGGCTTCTCCGAAGTCCAGAATGCCTACGATATGTACGAACAGCGTCTGGACGGCATCATCAAGGTCGTGATGGACATCAACTCCTAGCCAGCATCAACTCCTGGCCAGCGCTTGGGACAGCAATTGACGGGATCAGGATCATCGGGATGTGAGGATGGACAGGATGACAACTGCATCCGGCAAATCCGAACACCCCGACCATCCTGATGCTAAAAACGTCCCGCCCCCGGCCGCGGAATCGTTGACGCCGGGCCAGCGCCTAAGGCTAACCCGGGAAAACCTGGCGCTGGCCATGGCCTTCTTCACCGCGTCCCACCGGGGTCTGGTGTCCGCCTCCTTCGTGTCGGGCAGTGACGCCGCCAATCGGGACGACCCTCCGCAAACGGACACCTACACCCCGCCGGCCTTTTCAGACTACCAATCCCTGGTCCGCAGCGCCGGCAACCAGATTCGCGGAGCCTTTGCCCTGTCGGCTTTGCAGACTCTCAGAGAATTGACGGCTGCGTTCACCACACCACCCCTGGAAGAACGCGACCCCAACCTCCGCGCCGCCCGGGTGTGCGTGGCCCTGATCGCGCAATGCGTCGAAACCGACCTTATCGCGCCAAGGTGGAGCATTCCCGACGAATACCGGCAGCGCTTCGCCGCCCCCGATTTCAATTTCACGCTGGATGCCACCGATCTGGACGGGAAGGAAGTGCGGTGGGAGCATTTCGGCGGCCTCCCTCGCTACCTCGATCTGATTCTGTTCCTGTCCCGCTGCCTGGACGGGTACGAAGCCGATATTGCGGCGCAGGATCTCCCCGGAGACTATGGGGTTGCCGGCGAGTTGGCCAGCCAGTCACCCCACGATGCACCCGATCTTGCTCCGGTAGCCGGAGTCGGGGGTTTCGGCAGCGGATCAGGTCGTCTGCCGCGCAACGGATCGGTGGCCGCCACCCTGGGCGAACCCGCCGGTTGGATCGCCCCCGACGGCCCGCCTGCCCAGCGCATCTCGGTGGCATCTCAGGCCACCCACGAAGGACCCATCACCGACTTTGTTGCCGACGCCTGCGCCGTGGGCGGCGACATGATGACCCTGGCCGGCGAGCTTTATACCCGCTACGCCACCTGGTGTCTGGACAATGGATACCTGGCCGCCAGCCAGCGCAAATTCGGCCTGGAACTGACTTCTCGCGGTTACCAGCGCAAACGTCGTGGCAAGGGACGCCATTGGTGGGTGGGCCTGCAACCGCAGGATTAACCTACCGCGTCCGGCGCCCGGTTTCGCTTCGAAATCCGGTGTTTTGTTACACACACGTAACATTCGCGCAAAATCCCCGTAACATCATGGGAACATAATGGGCACATCGAAAAAGGGCATCGCCCACCATTCAACCGGAGAAACACCAATGATCGCAATCGCCGCCGCAGCCGTTTTCGTAGGACTCTTCGCCCTTTGGGTTGTCGTTCCCAAGTTCCTCCTTCGGCGCCACGGAAACTCCACCCCCAACGTATCCCCGCTGCTGCACGAAGACTTTGCCCCGCAGGCTGCCGACTAATAACTACCGACACACCTGCTTCGCGATCATTGCCCGGGACATAATGTCCCGGGCTTTCGATGTTAACAGCCCGCCACGCCGGGGCGTATAGCGCACGTCCCCTCCGTTACATAACCGTTACATCGTCGCAAAATCTGTGTAACAAAACCCCGCCATAATTCAGCCCATCGTTGATAACCCGATAGACCGAACCAACCGGAGATACATAAAAATGATCGCCATCGCAGCTATTGCAGCATTCATCGGGCTCTTCACCCTGTGGGTCATCGTCCGCGGTTCTTGATCCGTCGCAAAGAGAACGCCAGTGCCAACCTGGTGTCGCCGCTGACTCAAGAACAGGCAAATACGGTGCCGCAGGCCGCCGACTAGCGCCTCCGGCACCTCGGCGCGCTTCCAACACCAGTGTTCAGACGGCCCGGGGTAGTCCCCGGGCTTTCTCATGCCTTGTCGCCCAAGGCTTCAGGGTACCCCGGCACGCTGGCGCGGAAAGTATCGGCCACTCCCTGCCAATACGATTCCCAATCCCGGCGCATCTCCGGTTCGGTGGCTCCGCCCCAGTAGCCGGGCGACACCAGCGTCGATGCAGTTTCAACGCGCACCAGCGCCACCGCCCGCACCCGTTCCGCCAAACCTCTCAGCGAGGGCGCCCCATTTCGCATCCGTTCCACCACCGCGCCGAACACTTCGCCATCCCGATGTATGGTGGCAACCCCCTTGAAACGGTAGCCCTTGCGCAAAAACACATCCACGACGTTAAGCTCTATCGCCGGGTTGCTTTCCAGATTGGCCATCGTGCCGGGTGACGCCAGGTCGGTAAACAGCAGGTGATCGTCGTCCCACGCCATTACTGTTCCCTTTGGCGAAAGGTTGGGCGTTCCGTCGGCGCACACCGTTGCGGCAAATATGAGCCGTTGCTCGGCCACGGCCCGCTTCATTTCCTCGGTAAGAATTCCCATGCGATATCGCTCCCCGGGCCGCGCGGTTAATGCGCCGCCGCCGGCGCGTCAATCTCGCCGACCACCCGGCCACGCCTATCACGTCGATACGCCCAATTGACATTGTAATGGGGCATCGCTAGCATTGCACCAACTGACCGACCCCCTCACGTATTTTCAGTGGTCGGTCCTGCGTTTGACCAAAGATGCCTTTGGCTACAGAAAGGAGGCCACGGTTATGTTCGTACGGCGCGACCTCACCGATTCAGTTGAAACCCGCGAAGGCAATATGCACTTCGTTAAACAGGGCACCGGGTATCCGCTGGTGATGCTACACCCGCTGGGCACATCGACCTGGGCGTGGAGCACCGTCATTGACGCCCTCAGCCAACACTACACCTGCTATGCCTTCGATATGATGGGGCATGGGGAGTCCGACAAACCCACCCGGCACTTCAACATTCCCGACTACGCCCAGGCCCTCGACGACGCCTGCCAGGTTCTTAACATACACCGCGGCCACTACGTGGGTAATTCGGTGGGCGCAGTGTTGGCCACCGAAATGGCTGCCACCTACCCCGACCGGCTGGACAAACTCGTCCTGGTTGGCGCGCCGGTTTGGGATGCGCGAACCGCCCCCCAGCGCATTGCCGAGGCTGCCGCCGGTTACGACGGGGATGGTATGCCGGTGCCGCGCAGCGCAGAACAGCTCAAGGAGGCCACCACCTTCGCCGAGCCGCGGCCCGAATGGGTGGACGCCACCAACGGCACCCGCGCGCAGGCCGGAGTCTGGGTACAGAAGCTGCACCAGTCGTTGGCCTGGTATGACATCATGACCCGCCTGCCCCGCATCACCGCCAGGGAAACCCTGGTGCTCTACGGCGAGCTCGACCGTTTGCGGGATGGCGAAGAACTGCTCCACAACAACATCGTGCGGGCCCGCAAGCACATCATGCCCGGAGTGGGCCATATTCCACAGATCGAAGATCCCGAAGGATTTGTGGACGCGGTGGTTTCCTTCCTGAAACCGGGCGCCTGACGCCGAAAAACGGGACAATCCGTATATCCTCCAGTTAGCCACGACGGGCTCACCACGGTTATAGTTAACCGTGGTGAGCGTTTCCAACTCCGGACGCTACCGGCAAGCAGCATCGACATCCGGCGCCATTGACACCGTTCAGACTGTCACAATATGTCAACCATATTCGTACAATCCCGCAACCGCAGTCCAGAATTGCTGCGGACCGCGAACCGTCGCACCCAGGCCAGCGCGGCCAACATTGTCGTGGCCGGCATTGGAACCGCCGGTGGTCGCCGCGCCCTCATGTTTCTGCAGCGCATGTCCGAACTCTCCGCCGTGCGCCGAATCCAGAGCGCGGTGTTCTACGATTGCAACGAAATTACCATCTCCCACATCCAAAAGTATCTGGGCAAGTTCCTCGGCAGAAGTCGTCAGGGCGCTGGCATCCAGATAATTTTCCCGAATTACGTACCCCTGCCCAACGGTTTCATGCGCGACCCACGCATCTTCCAGGAGTACAGCGGACCCCTGGAACGGGACATGGACAACGTAGTCAGCCAGATCATGGCCCAATCCGACCGGTCGGGCCATTCCCCCGATATCATCATCGAATTCATGGGATTTGCGGGGCACTCCGTTTTGGGCGGGCACCTGCACGGCAAACTGCGAAACTCCTTCCCGTCGGCCATCATACTGCCGATAATGATGTTGCCCACCGACCACGTTTGCGAAGAATGGACCCGGCGTTACATCTGGGAGCAGTACGAATCCCTGCTGGAAGGCTCCAACTGCCTGGTTACCACGCAATCGTCCAGCGTGTCAGGCGAAGACGACCTGCGGTTGGCAACCGGCCTGGCCGGCATCGAGATGGCAGATTTCGAAGAGGAAGAAACTTCAGACAGCCCCCTGGCCGGCGCCTGCCGACGCCTGATCCCTGCTTCCAGCGGCTGGCTGGGCATGGGCATCGCCAAGCGCAGCATGCCGGTGACCAACCGGTTCAAGTGGCTGCGATTCCCACCCAGATGGCAGCAGTACGCGGCAATAGGACCCGAAGACGATACCTACATGTCCCTGGGACACGCGATCTGGTCGACCTTCGACCCGGCCGCACAAATGGCCGCCGGCGTCAACACCTCACCCAATGCGCCCCAGGAAGTGGTCGTTTCGCTGCCCATCCATCCCGACGCCCTCGAACCCATGGCGCTGGAGGCAGCGGAAGTCCTGGACCGCAGCGGCATATTTGCCAGATATCCAAACATGGACATCGCCTTCAATACCGCCCGTTTCACCGAAGGTCTCAAAAAAGACCCGTATATGCACGTTACACGCATCTATCCGGTGCAGGGCGATCTCGAACCCGTGCTGGACATTCTGCATCCCGACCGTGAGCCCGACGAAGGCCGCCGGCGGGTCGTTGCCGAAACCGGATTTGGTTCTTATTACCATCTCGACCAGCCCAACTTCCCGCACCACTAACTCCAGGCGAATATCCGGAGAGGTCGGAGCCTACACTTTACATCTAGTTACCTGCGCTTTTCGCACCCCCGGCAGATGTTGTCAAATCGGAGCGTGGCGACATCAGGTGAGAGTTAATTGCAATATCTAAGAGCCTGTTTACAATCTTTTTAGGATTAGCACCGTGAAGGCAAGCACCACCATTTGCAGGCTGGTATTGAGCTTTCTTTCGCAGTTCTTCCAGAGTCGGCGGCACTTTTCCAGCCAGGCGAAAGACCGCTCCACCACCCATCGCTTCGGCAGCACCACGAAGGTGTGCAGTTCGCTGCGTTTCACTACTTCCACCGAGGCTCCCAACAGGCCTTGCACCGCAGTGGCAAAGGGCTTTCCGGTGTAACCCCCGTCCACCAGCACGTTCCGCACCAGGCTGAGGTCGTCCCGCCGCCGGTCAAACATCGCCAAAGCCCCGGCCCGGTCGGTAACGTCGGCGGTAGTCACGTGTATCCCATGGGGCAATCCCTGCGTGTCCACCGCGATGTGACGCTTGATTCCCGACACCTTCTTGCCTGCGTCATAGCCCTTGTGCCCGGCGGTGTCCGTGTTCTTGACGCTCTGGGAGTCCACGATGCAGAAGCTGGTCTGCTCTTTCCGTCCATTGCTTTGTCGGGCCGCGCCAACCGATTTTTTTTAGGACTTGCTCCAGAATGGAATCCTGACCTGGGCCAGGCCGCTCGCTCCATTGCCGGAAATACTTGTAGCAAGTGCGCCAATTGGAGAAGTCCGCCGGCAGCATTCGCCACTGGCACCCGCTTTTCAAGAGGTACAGTACGCCGCAGAAAACGTCATATAAGTCCACGGTGCGGGGCTTGGTCCGACGGCGGGCCGACTCCAACGTCGGCAGAATACGGGCGAATTGCTCCCGGCTGATGTCGCTGGGATAGGAATGAGACATGATTACCCCTCCCCTGATAATAGTCTCAACTTAACCTATTTCAGAGATCGTAGACAGGTTCTAAGAATTATAAAAATTCAACATAACTTGCAATTGCTGTCGTTTGACAATGCGAAACTGCCACTGCTATGATTTACATCAGTTATCCGAACCCATAACGATCAATAATTTGGTGAACAATCACCTGGAAAAGAGCGGGCGACGTATTTTTGAATAACGACCGCTTCCGGTATCATCCGTAAGTAATTCTGTCTTCAGTTGGCCTCACTTCCCAGGCAGATTTACCCAAGGCAGATCCCGAGTCGCCTGGTCAATGTAGGAAGGAGGCCACGGAGCAGCTATGCCACCGAAAGCACGAACTTTCAGAGTCCGAAGAGAATCTGTCCACCCGGTGGTGACAGCAGACGATAGATATGACGAGGGCAAACCGCCCCCTATCCTGTCTGTCTCAGTAGGCACCGCCGGCTACAAGCGGAGTTGGAACTGGGCCAAACGAATGGGCCAGGCCGGAGTTCTCAACCGCCTCCAGGGTATGTTCATCTATGACTGCAACCAGTCCACGGTTTCAGACATAGAATCTGAAGTACACCAGATGCGACGCGTTCCCAGCGGCGGAAGCCTTCCTGTCATCCTGCCCGAATACTTCCCCAAGGTTGACGGGTTCCTTCGGGATCCCAACGCCTTCAAAGATTTTTACGGGCTGATTGATCGCGACTTGGACCGTATGGTTGACTTGGTCGCGCAGCGATCCGAAGCGGTCAATGCACCTCCGCAGGTTATCGTGGAATGGCTGGGCTTTGGTGGCCACGCCAAACTCGGTGGATTGCTCCACCGCAAGCTTGCCGAGCAGTTCCCCGAAGCCCTTTTCCTGCCCATCGTGCTGCTCCCCAAAGAGCACGCCCTTGAAGAAAACATGCGCCGCGAGACTTGGGGCGCTTACGAAGAAACCATGAACAAAGTCGACCCGCAAACCGGTCGGACCGAAGTCGGTTTCCCATCATTGCTCACCGACAATCGCATGTACCGGAATTACAGCACCCTGGACAACAAACTGGCCATCGGACTCGCCTCTGTCGAGGCAGCGATGGAGTACCAGACCGATAGCGGATCGCTGGCCGAAACCGCCTCCAGCTTCGGCAAATACTCCAACGGTTGGTTGGGTATGCGAGTGCTCAACCGCCGCGTTGATGTCTCCGAAGTTCGCCAGGGCGGTCGCTTCCGGCTGCCCTTCGGCAACCGCCAGATTGCAGTCATCAAAGGCAAAGATAACCATGTAACATGGCAGGTCAAGAACGCCCTGTGGGAAATGGTTGACCCCAAGCGTCGAGACCTGCAAATGGCTGATCACGATCCCATCGAGGACGAATCGGTCATACGCATGGTTGTTACCTTGCCCGTCAACCCAGAGGGCATCAAGGAAATTGAAGCTGACGTACGCGACCAGCTGGACCGGGAAGGTTACGAAGATGCCTTTCCCAACCTGTCGTACTCCTTCGCTCCGGCCCGTTTCCCCGTCGATAGCGGCGAAAACCACATGTTCGTCAGCATGATCTACCCGCTCCGCGGCGCTGGCATTCCCAGCATCGAGCGCATCATGGGCAAGAACGAAGACCATAACCGCTTTAACTCCAAAGACGGCAGCGTTTACCAGATCGGTTTCGGAACCAGACACTTCATACCACAAGACGGTATACCCGACAACGGTTCCACTCAATTCAGTTACCTGTCGCGCGGACACCTCCGCCGAGTCGAGCGAGAACGGGAGCTCACCCGGATACGCACTGCAGGCGCCGAACAGCAGCCTGGCAACGGCCACACCAACGGCGAAAGCGGCGCTGGAAGCGAATTCCGTCGGTAAACCCACCCGGAAACCGGAAACCGGCGCTGTAGGCAATCGCCCAACCAGAGCCGGTTCCTTTTTAACCCATTGGCTGGTTGGCCATCGATCCGATTATCCGTCGCACCGATTGAACCCCCCGCCGGAGTTTTCCGGCGGGGGGTTCATCTTCCCCGAATCTACGGCGTGTCCGCCTGAAAAATTGCCCTAGTTATCGGCGGCCACCGCTTCCTTGCGAGCCTTCGCCTGGAAGTGAGGGATGATGTACTTGCCGAACAGCCGCAACGATTCCATCACCTCCTCGTGCGTCACTGGGCCCACCTGGAACAGCGGCATGATTTCGTCCACGCCCATCTGTTCGTAGGCCTCGATGTACTGGATGCAATCGTCGGGGTTGCCGATGCAAAAGCGTCCACCGTCGTCGATCAGCGACCTGGATGACACCTCGTCGGCGCGCGCGGAATCGGCCTGCACCGCCCGCTGGTAGTGGAACTGGTAGTCGTCCGGCACGTTCGCCGGGTCGTAACCCTGCCAAACGTAGGAATCGCGAATGCGCTGCTGCACCCGATACCAGTCGATAATCTCCGCACCACGCTCGAAAGCCTTCTCGCGGTCTTCCATGCACAACGCTACGGTGTTGCCCGCCACGCGCGGATAAACCATCCCGGTGACCGGCTCGGGATTTTTGATGGCATCGCGGTAAATCTTGATCAACGCCTCGGCGCGCGCCAGGCCAACGCTGGTCTGCGCCAGGCAGCCCAGGCCCTGCCGGCCCACCTTCTCGGCGGTGGACTCCTGGCTCACAGCCTGCCAGATGGGCGGGTGCGGCTTCTGCACCGGCTTGGGGATCAACCTCCCGCGGCGGGATGTTGTAGTGCTTGCCCTCGAAGGAGAAAATCTCTTGGGTCCAGGCGCCGGGAATAATTTGCAGATATTCCTCGACCATCTCTGAAACATCGGCCAGGTCGGAGCCGTAGGGCAACATCTGGTAGGGATAACCCGAGCGTCCGATGCCCAGGTTCACGCGCCCGCCGGAGATCACGTCCAGCGTGGCCATGCGGGATGCGACGTTCAGCGGGTGGTGCAGGGGAGCCAGCACCACGGCGATGCCCAACCGCATTTTGGTGGTGCGTTGGCTCAGCGCCGCCAGCGTGATGTCGGGTGCGCTGGAATGCGACCATTCCGAACGGAAATGGTGTTCCACAAACCAAACGCTGGTCATGCCTATCTCTTCGGCAAAGCAGACCTGCTCTATCATCTCCTGGAACTTGCGCGATTCGCTCTGATCGTCCCAGGGTTTGGGCACCTGAATCTGGTAAAAAAGGCCGAGTTCCATAACGTGCGCCTCCGGGCCAAACGTGCAGTAAATTTCATCGATCCGGTAGTTTGGCGCATTGTAGCAGATTTCGCGCAGCCAACCCGCTTACCTGTCCATACAACAGGTCGCGACGGCGTTGGTCGGCCCTGCCCGGGCAATGCGGCAGGCTGCCAGCGTCCGATCAACACTCAAATCCCTTCGATCATCCTCTCACAAAAAAGCCCCCCTCCCGGTGGGAGAGGGGTTTGGGGTGAAGGGAGCGCTATCCAACTAGCTGCGTCCGTACTTGTCCACTGCCTTGTCACCGGTCAGCGCCAGGAACACGTCGCCGTGGGCGTCACACCAGATGCCGTGGGCAGAGCGGCTGTGCCAGCGAGCCAGCACGTTGCCGTTCCGGTCGAAGATGCTGACCCTCGGCGAATGCGAGCCGTCCAGCGACGCCAGCTCGCTGACCACAAAATCACCTTCGGGAGTCTCCGCTATGTCGGTGGGCCGACGGCAGTCAGTCCACATGGTCTTGAAGTTGCCCATGGTGTCGAACACCTGGACGCGACTGTTTTCGCGGTCGCAAAACATACACCGTGTCATCCGTGGTAACCAGAAGGCTGTGAGGCAGGTGAAATTCGTAGGGAGCCTCCTTGCCGGGCTTGCCCCACGAGAACTTCAGCTTGCCGTCATTATCAAAACGGTGCACGCGGGCGTTGCGGTAGCCGTCGGCGACGAACAGGTCGCCGCTGGGCGAGGGCACCATCTCGGCGGGATAGTTGAACGGTCCGGCGGCCCGCGGCACCAGCTCTCCAGCCACCTGAGCGCCGGTGTCCGAATGGACGCCGTGGCGACCCAGCATCTGGATTGGCTTGCCGTCCAGCGTGTACATGATGCAGACCGACGTGTCCCGATCGGTCAGGTACACGATATCACCCTCGATGTAAAACCCGTGAGCGTAAACGAACGATCCGTTGCCCCAACCGCTCTTGAAATTGCCGCTGCGGTCGAAGATGGCGACGGGCGGATCGGCGCGGTGGAAGATGTAGATGTCGCCTGCCGAGTCGCTGGCCAGGGCGCTCACCGCTCCCATGGGATGCACCGCGGGCATCTTGGCCCAGTCTGATTCCAGAGTATAGGTATGCTTGCCGGTTCCAACTGTGGTCATAGTTTGGCCTCCTGGTTTGGCATATCGTGCGAACGATAAAAAAATATCTTGATCGGCGGCGTGAAGTTCCGGCGGGCCGGTCAGGACATCAGCTTGCGCACCGTGGTAATCACGCGCTGGGCGTTGGGCAGGTATGCGTTCTCCAGCGGCCGGCTGTAGGGCACCGGTGTGTGAGGAGGCGTCACGCGGGAGGGAGGAGCGTCCAGATAATCAAAGGCTTCCTCGGCAACGCGCGCACAGATGTCAGATGAGATGCTGCACACCGGAGTATCTTCGTCCACCACCACCAGCCGATGCGTGCGTCTCACTGAGTCCAGCACATGGTCGTAGTCGATGGGCGAAACGCTGAGGAGGTCGATCACCTCGGCGTTTATCCCCTCTTTTGCCAGTTCCTCGGCGGCTTCCACCGCCACCCAGGTCATCTTGCTGATGCCCACCAGCGTAACGTCGGTGCCTGGGCGAACCGTGCGCGCTTTACCCAGTGGAATCGCATAGGACTCCTCGGGCACCGGGCACGTATCTCCGTACAGTCCCTTGTGTTCAAAGAAGATAACCGGGTCGTCGTCGCGAATGGCGGATATCAGCAATCCCTTGGCGGTATAAGCGTCGGAGGGACAAACGCCCTTGAGACCGGGGATGTGGCTGAACAGCGAATAAAACGACTCGGAGTGCTGGGCCGCGCTCCCGAAACCGGCGCCGATGCGGGTCAGCATCACGAACGGTACCTTGACCTGTCCGCCGAACATATAGCGCATCTTGGCGGCATTGTTCAACAGTTGGTCCATGCACACGCCGATGAAGTCGACGAACATCAGCTCGGCCACCGCCCGCATCCCGGTGGACGCGGCGCCGATGGCGGTGCCGACGAAGGCAGCCTCCGATAACGGCGTGTCCAATACGCGTTCGTTGCCAAATTCCTGGATCAGTCCTCTGGTGGTTCGAAACGCGCCGCCCCAGGCATCGACGATGCCCAGATGTTCGCGACCGGCGCCGCCGGCGATCTCTTCGCCCATGATTATGACGGTTTCGTCGCGGCGCATTTCCTGGATCAGCGCTTCGTTGATGGCTTCACGCGTTTGAATCACGCGGGTTTCGCCCGGTGGGGGCAACATTGGAACTTCGGTAATCGTGGTCATGATTCTCAGTCTCCTGCTGTCGCGGCGTTGGAAACGCTGCATTCAGTGTTTCAACAGAATCGGTATCGCTGCCGTTGGCAACGCCAACCGGCTAAATCGACATGTTGGCGCCGCGGCGCATCATCTCTATCGGATAGTCCCCGTACACGTCTTCATAAAATTTCGTGCGGCTCCGGCAATGGGCTGGCGTCGGCAAAACTCACCGCTTCCTCAATGAGCTGCAGGGCTTCGGCGTCCATCTGGTCGAGTTCCTCGGAGGTGATGGCATTCCCCTGGGCAATCATGTGATTGCGGAACGTCAGCAGCGGGTCGCGGGCGCGCCAGTGGTCCTGTTCCTCTTTGGTGCGGTAGGTCAACGGATCGTCGAACACCGTATGACCGTAGTAGCGATAGGTGCGAGCTTCCAGCAGCGCCGGTCCGCCACCGGAGCGGGCGCGGTCCACCGCCTGCCCGGCTGCTTCGTACACCGCCAGCACATCCATGCCGTCGACGTAGATGCCGGGCATGTCGTAGCCGGGAGCGCGGTCGACCACGTTGGCGACGGACAGCCCGTACTCCACCGGGGTAGACTCGGCATATCCGTTATTCTCGCAGCAGAAAACCACCGGCAACTTCCACACGGATGCCAGGTTCATGCACTCGTGCAACACGCCCTGGTTGGCTCCGCCGTCGCCGAAGAATGCAACGGCCACCCGACCCAGCTTTCGAATCTTGGAGGTCAGGGCAGCGCCAACAGCCAGCGGAACGCTGCCGGCAACGATGCCGTTGGTACCCAGCATTCCCTTGCTCATGTCGGCGATGTGCATGGAGCCGCCCTTGCCCTTGTTGGGACCGTCGATACGTCCAAAGAGCTCGGCCATCATCAACTTGGGTTCCACACCCTTGGCGATGCAGTGGCCGTGTCCCCGGTGGGTGCTTCCGATATAGTCATCGTCGCTCAGATGAGCGCAAACTCCCGTGGGCACCGCTTCCTGTCCCACGGACGAGTGAACAGATGCAGACATGCCCCGTTGTCCGGTTTCGGGCACGCCTCGTTCTTCAAAGTGCCGGATGGTTGTCATCGTGCGATAAAGTCGCAGCAGAGTGTCGCGATCGAGTTCCATGGCAACACGCTCCTTTGTGTGGCGCTGGGATCAGCAGCTGTCGTGTAGAAAAAAACCGGCGAGAAGTTCGCCGGCTTTATAGGTGGCCCAATAGTAGCACGGGGCCGGACAGTGTCAAGGCAGCGCCGTTCCCTCGACGGGAGAGGGATAGAGTGAGGGTGAACTTCCCTCTCCCTGAGAGGAGCGGCGGCCGGGAGTGAGGGCCGTACTACACCGAAAATGCCACCTCCACCGGTGCGCCGGCCCCAATGCCCAACCCAGCCAAGGCACTGCCGTCCACCACCACGATCTCCAGCCGACCGTGGCTCCCCACCAGCGCTCGTAGTCCCGACCCCGGCGGGTCATGAAATGTTCGCGACAATCCGGTGATGGCATTGCCGGCAATATTGACCCTGACAGCGGCCCGGTCGCCAGCGGTCAAACCCATGCTCACCAGCAGATCGTCGGTTATATCGGTGGTCAGATTTCCGAATGTGTCGGCGTAGACAACCTGGCCCAATATGACGCCGTCATGCGGTTCTGGGATCGGCATTGCCAGGGTGTTCAGCGTGTTTGTTGATTCACCCATCCGGTCGGTCGCCACACCCAGCGAAAGGTGCGCCGCCACCGGCGCGAATACGTCGCGGCCGTGGAAAGTTGCGCTGACCGGACGCCGCCAATACTCCGGGTCGGTGAGTCTCCAGGCGCGGCAACCGCCCGGAACCGCCGCCGCACCGGCTTGGGGAGTATCCCCGAATGCCGCGTCATAACGCCGGCAAACCAGCGTCAGCAGCCCGTTGTCGGGCGCCACGAATCTGGCGTCGGGTGTTTCCAGCAGCAGAGCCGCCCGATCGGTTCCCACGCCCGGATCTACCACCGCAACGAAGATGCTACCGGTCGGGAAATAAGGGGCCGAGTCCGCCAGCGCCACCGCGCCGTGTCGAACGTCTTGCGGGCCAATTCCGTGGGTGAGGTCGATCACGTTGGCAGCGGGATTGATGCCCAGAATGACCCCCCGCATCATGCCCACGTAGGCATCGGTAAGGCCGAAATCGGTGGCCAGGACGATCGGGGGCGCTGCCATAATATTGGCGGCCGGTTTTACCGGCGCCGCACCGTCGGGCCCGTGCTAGGTGAAGCGGGCGCTGAGGACCGACACCACCAGGAAAATGCCAATCAGCGCAACGGTAATCTGAAATAACGTGCGCTCCAGCCCCCGGCGGGTCCGGGCGGTGTTTTGAGCGCTGCCAAACATTCCACTACCAGCCTCTCGCACCTGCGAAAGGATAAGCAGTACCAGCACCACAGAAACAAATATTTGAGCCAGGTTGAAAAAAGACATGATCGCTAACCGCGACAACGATTGTAACATGGACTCATCGGCGCCGGCACTGCCTCACTACACCAATTCACCCCGTTGTCGTTGCCAGGAACCGCTAACCACTCATCGCAACGGAGGCGGATCCATGCCGTCGCGTTCTGCATTCTTCGTTCTAAACGGCTTTCACCCCTGACGCGCCTTTTCCTCTTCCAGCCCCTCTTGCACCAACCGCAACGCCAGCTCGGGTTGCGCCTGACCCCTGGTGAGCCGCATCACCTGACCCATCAGGAAACGCGCCGCCGTGTCCTTGCCGCTGATGTAATCGGCCACGGCTTTGGGGTTCGCGGCGATGGCCTCGGCGACGGCATCTTCGATGGCGCCGGTGTCGCTGATCTGACCCAAACCCTGCGCCTGCACGATGTCCGCCGGATCGCCACCCGAGGCGTACATCTCGTCCAGAACCGTCTTGGCCAGCGATGTCGACAGCGTGCCATCGTCTATCAACGTCAACAGGTCGTTCAACCGCTCCGGCGTAACCGGCGATGCGTCGATATCCCGGTGGTCCTGATTCAGCAAACGGGCCAGATCCCCCAGCATCCAGTTGGCAATTTCTTTGGCAGCGGCGGGCCGGTCAACGGCCGTCGCGTTCCTGAGGGCCACCGTAGATTCGAAATAGTCGGCCATAGCCCGGGACCCCACCAGCGACTCGGCGTCGTACTCCGAGAGTCCCAGCTCGGACTGGAAACGGGCTTTGCGTTGGGGCGCAAGCTCAGGCAGGGCGGCTTTCAGTTGCGCCACTTTCTCCGGGCCGATACGCAGGGGAGGCAGGTCCGGTTCCGGGAAGTACCGGTAGTCGTGGGCATACTCCTTGCTGCGCTGGGAGACCGTAACCTCCCGCTCTTCGATCCAGCCGCGGGTTTCCTGCACCACCGCGTCGCCGTCTCCGATAACGCGCTTCTGACGCTCCACCTCGAACTCCAACGCCTGGTATACCGCGCGGAAGCTGTTCATGTTCTTGACTTCGGTGCGAGTGCCAAACACGTCACTGCCGGCGGGTCGGATGCTCACGTTAGCATCGCACCGGAAGTTGCCGTCCTGCATGTTGCCGGTGGACACGCCCAGATACTGCACCAAAGAATGTATTGAGGTGAGGTACTGGCGCGCCTCTTCCGGCGAGCGCATGTCCGGTTTGCTCACGATTTCCATCAGCGCCACGCCCGAGCGGTTCACGTCGACCAGCGAGTAACCTTCGCCTCCGTCCTCGTTGATGGCATGGGGAAAGTGCTGCAACTTGGCAACGTCCTCTTCCAGGTGTACCCGCTCCACGCCGATACTTCGCAGCCCCAGATCCAGTGCGGGGTCACCGGCAATATCGACGTAACCGCCCAGCGCCAGCGGCAAATCGTACTGGGATATCTGGTATCCCTTCATCAGGTCGGGGTAAGGATAGTTCTTGCGGTCAAACTTGGTAAATTCCGGGATACTGCAGTTCAGCGCCAGCCCGGTCAGCACGGTGTACTCGACGGCGCTGCGATTGATCACCGGCAGGGCGCCGGGCAGTCCCAGGCAAACCGGGCAAGTGCGCGTGTTGGGTTCGGCAGCCTGATAATCCGCCGGGCACCCGCAGAACATCTTGCTGCGGGTTTTCAGCTGCACGTGCACCTCAAGCCCTATAACCGTTTCGTACTGCATAACCTCCAACCCAAAACCCTGCGTTTCGCTAAAATATCACTACCGGCACGCCGCCGGAAATGCCCGGCGTCGCCATAAATATCACGCGCGAATCTGCGGGGCGGTAACGCCGGGCCACCGCCCCTTATCTGATCTACTCCTCGTCCCCGTATTGCTCTTTCAGCATCTCCACCACGGCCGGGTCGGCCAGAGTGGTGGTGTCGCCCAGGGCCCGACCCTCGGCAACGTCTCGGAGCAGGCGGCGCATGATCTTGCCGCTGCGGGTTTTGGGCAGCTCGGCGGCGAAGTAGATGTCGTCGGGCCGGGCCATGGAGCCGATCTTGCCGGCGACGTGCTGCTTCAATTCGGCGATCACGTCGTCGGAGGCGGTCACGTGGTCTTTCAGCGTCACGAACGCAACGATGGCCTGACCCTTCACCCTCGTGGCTGCGCCCGATGCAGGCCGCCTCGGCGACCTTCAAATTGTCCACCAGCGCCGACTCCACCTCCATCGTGCTGATGCGGTGCGCCGACACGTTGATCACGTCGTCCACCCGACCCAGCAGCCAGAAGTAGGATTCCTCGTCCAGCTTGGCGCCATCGCTGGTGAAGTAGATGCCCTCGTAGTTGGACCAGTACTGCTCCTTGAACCGCTCCGGGTCGCCGTAGATGCCGCGCAACATGCTGGGCCACGGTTGCCGGATCACCAGATAGCCGCCGCCGCCAGGTCCAACCTCGTTGCCCCTGCTCATCGAGGATGGCGGCATCTATGCCAGGGAACGGCTGCGTGGCCGATCCGGGTTTCAGCGTGGTGATGCCGGGCAGGGGCGATATCAGCACCGAGCCGGTTTCGGTCTGCCACCACGTATCCACCACGGGACACCGGCCGCCGCCGATGTGTTGCCAGTACCACACCCATGCCTCTGGGTTGATGGGTTCGCCCACCGAGCCCAGCAGCCGCAGCGAGGACATGTCGTGGCGCTCCGGATACTCCTCTCCCCAGCGCATGAAGGTGCGGATGGCTGTGGGAGCGGTGTAACAAATGGTGCAGCCGTATTTCTCGACGATGGCCCAGAACCGGTCCCGGTCGGGATAGTCGGGCGAGCCCTCATACATCACCGTTGTTGCGCCGTTGGCCAGCGGGCCGTAAATGATGTAGCTGTGTCCGGTAACCCAGCCGATGTCGGCGGTGCACCAGTACACGTCATCTTCCTTAAGATCGAAAATCCACTTGGTCGTGGCATACGTACCGGTCATGTAGCCGCCGGTGGTGTGGACAATCCCCTTGGGTTTGCCGGTGGTGCCGCTGGTGTACAGCATGAAGAGCATATCTTCGCTGTCCATCGGCTCCGGGTCGCAGGTCAGCGGCTGGTTGGCCACCAGGTCGTGCCACCACACATCCCGACCCTCTTGCATCTGGTCGTCGGCGTGGCCGGTGCGGCGCACCACAACGACATGCTCCACCGGAGTTTCGCCCTCCACCGACGCATCGGCGTTGGTTTTGAGCGGAATGACGCTGCCCCGTCGCCAGCCGCCGTCGGCGGTAATCATCACCTTGGACTGGGAATCTTCGAGGCGGTCCCGCAGCGACTCAGCGCTGAACCCACCGAACACGATGCTGTGGGGCGCGCCGATGCGAGCGCAAGCCAGCATCGCTATCGCCAGTTCGGGCACCATCGGCAGGTAGAGAGTTACGCGATCGCCCTTCTGCACGCCCAAACTCTTCAGTCCGTTGGCGAACTTGCAGACTTCCCGGTACAGGTCGCGGTAAGTGTACACCTGCCAGTCGCCCGGTTCGCCTTCCCAGATGATGGCCGCCTTGTTCTTGCGCGGCCCGTTCAGGTGCCGGTCGATGCAGTTGTATGATGCGTTGAGCTGACCGCCCACAAACCACTTGGCGAAGGGTGCATCCGACCAGTCCAGGATGGTTTCCCAGGGTTGAACCAGTCCAGCTCGCCGGCCCACCGTGCCCAGAAAGCCTGTGGGTCGCGACGCGCTTCTTCGTACACGCCGGGGTCGCTGATATTGGCCTGGGCAACGAATTCGGGTGGCGGTGGATAGGTGCGGTCTTCCTGCAGCAGGGCCTCAAAAGCGCCGGTATTCTGAGTCATGGTTAAGAACCTCCGGGGCAGCAAAATATCAGGATTTGATACCGCAGATATTAGCACATCCATTGGACCGTTGCGGTTAGGCCATCTACGGCGGCGACCCATACCAGCGGTCGATGACGTCTCCCACTTTGGACGCATCTTCCACCGGAACGGTTGAGACGAATGCAGTTTCCAGGTGGCAGATGGCGAGCTTGGCGCCTTCGCATCCCGAAGGTGTGTCTTCGGTTAGAGTCATTTGATACAAGGTGCGGGTCCCCTCTCGAAAATAATCTTCGCCCAGCGCGTGGTACAGCCCCAACACCAACTGTTCCCCCAGGGAGTAATTACATCGGAACTCGTTGGTCTTGACCTCGGCCTCCAGGACTTCCAGCTCGGAGATGGTTTTGGCCGAAGCACAGGGGTTGTTGGTTACACCAATTGACGCTCCCGTGCGGGCGTTCTCGGCGATAGACGCCAGGATTTCAGCATAGCCTTCGCTCAGCCACGCGTATTCCGCGTTTCCGGAGTGCCAGAAGTAGTGGGCAACTTCATGGGCTATCACAAAGGGAGTGCGATCCCACAACCGCCCGTACTCCACGTCATACAGCAAAGACATGGCCATGTGGGTTCCGAAATACGTTCCTCCTATGGTGTAAGTTGTCGTATCGTCGAAGTACAACGCGATGTAATTGGTATGGAAAGGAGCCCCCATGACAGTCTCGATGGCTCGGACGCTGTTTTCCAGGTAGTCCATGGCCGGCGTCGTCTGGTTCCGGATGCGGACGATGGCCAGAAGCGTCTCCCCCGTGTGGGGAAGCTGGATGGTGCGCTCCTCAATAAACACGCCAACGCCCCGCAGCAGGAAATCCACCGATTCGGGTCTCTTGCTGTAGGTTCCTGCCAGCAGGGCCACGATCTTGGTCTCTTCGTCAGTAATGCCGTCGGCTATCCTGGGGTGGGACATTATCTTCAGGTAGTATTCGGTATTGTCGCGTTCCAGGCGCTGCAATGACAGCACTGCCAACAAATCCCGACTCTCGACGCTCTCCAGAAAGGGCATATCCAGCAGTTTACGCGCGGCGGCGATCGCTTGGTCAGCGAAGTTGTCATCTTCAGGCCGTGCCGCCCAATTGATGTTCCGCATGACTTTAACCTCATCTGCCGTTATGCCGTCCCGGAACCAGGATTTTTGCACCAACTGTTTGCCCAACTCCGACGAAGTTGTGGTCGTCCAGCGGGCCGCCTGCATTCCATCAACCTCGTGAGATTCAGGGCCATCCACAAACCAAGGTACACGCAGGAGAGCCCAGGCTACATCGAGGTCTACCCATGCCAGCCACAGCAACTCCTGCAGCGCTTGGCGCTCCACATCGGTTACCACGTCGGCTGCCCATGGCAACTTCCCTATCTCCGACGCCATAGTCGCCGCATTACGGTTTAGCCATTCCTCGTTTTGCAACCCAGCGATGGGATTCGGCGGCTCCGGAGTATTTGTGGGTTCAGGCGTGTTGGTCGGTCGCGGCGCGAACGTAGGATCGGGCGTGGCGGTGGGTTCGGGAGTGGGGGTGGCCGCCGGACGCATCGGCGTGGCGGTAAGAGCCGTAGTCGGCGTGTTAGCCGGCGGTGGTGGCGTGCCGGTAGGGATTTCAGTAGCCGTCGGCTCCGGCGTAGCGGTGGCCGCGGGTGTTTGGGTAGGTAACGGCGTATGCGTCGGATGCGGCGTGTGCGTTGGCCGTGGCGACAGCGTGGGATTCGGCGTGAACGTGGGCAACGGCTCAGGCGCAGTGCAGGCCGCCGTTCCCGCAATGATAATCAATACTGCTGCCGTCAACAGGACGGCAAAAATCTTTTGTGTAGTCATCAGGTCTCCTCCGATTCCTGGGGGTGTTTCACCCAGCCAGCCGCACCACGCGGCAGGAACGGGTAACCCCACGTTCGTCAAACGCAGGGGTTCACGGGAAGGGAGGAGCCGGCTATTCCAGCCGGGGAGCAGGACCCGCCAGTTCCGCTGCCGTGCTTACGACAATACGGCTGGGGCGGGCAATGGGGTTGAACCCCCAACAGGCGCCGGCGAAGATCGCCGGGCAGATGCGCATGGCCGGCGCGTAGATCGCCGCTGTTTGCGTTAATCGGACGACAACGGTCCTGACCGGCGGCGGCAGAAACGTGCCGGCGAGTTCCTGGCCAGCGCCGAAACACCCCGCCGCCAGGAAGAAGGCCACCAACCAGCACCGAACCACCACGTCAGCTGGATCACCAACGTTCTAAACGCCTGATTGGATGGCCGGTTGAACAACGAACGCATGTTTATAACAGTCTCAGGTGGAAATTATGCCATCCGAAATTACCTCCTGCAACAGCGTCGTGTCACTTTCCCTTACAATGCGTCCCTATGCCCGACCCTGGCCACAACGCCGATGCCGTAATGTTGCCCCGTCCCCGCTGGCGCACCGTCCTCATGGGTGGCGCAGCCGCCCTCGGCATGATCCTGGCGTCGCTGGATTTCTCCGTGAACGTGGCGTTGCCCGCCATTCGCGACGCTTTTGAAACCGACCTGGCCGCCGTCCAGTGGGTCATCGTGCTATTCATAGCCACGCGCGCCGGCCTGGCTCTGGGAGCCGGCGCCTTCGCCGACCGTTTTGGCCTCCGGATGGTTTACCTGTTCGGCACCTTAACCTACCTCATCGCCATGCTGTGCCTCACGCTGTCGCCGACGCTGGAAGTCATGGTCGGTTTTCGTGTGCTGCAGGCCCTGGGCACCGGTTGCCTGTACAGCACCGCACCCGCCATCGCGGCGTTCATCTTCCCAGACCACCGCCGTGGACTGTCCATGGGCTTTACATCAGCCAGCCTGGCCTTCGGGATGGTTGCTTCAACCATTGCCGCCGGGCCGTTGGTGCAAACCTACGGATGGGAGGCCGTGTTCGCCGGCCGCGTCCCCCTGACGGTGCTGGCGCTGGCCACCGGATTGCTGGCCGTGCCCGGCCGGTTGTCGGCCCAGGCATCAAACCGACGGTTCGACGTACTGGGCGCCGCGCTGGTGCTGGCTCTGCTGTTGTGCCTCATAATCGGGTTGAGGCTGGGGCAGTCCATCGGTTGGACCTCGCCCATCGTCATCGTGCTGCTGGCGGCGACTCCCGTTGTGTTGGCGGCGCTGATCAGGACCGAAACCCGCGCCCAGTCACCGTTATTGCCGAGCGCGTTGTTGCGACTCCGCGCCTTTCAAACCGCCACGTCCGTGATGTTCCTGGGGCATTTCTCCCAGTTCGTAATCTGGTTCATATTCCCCTTCTACATCACCGATTCGCTGAACCGCGGGCCCGTTACCCTGGGCATCATGCTGGCGACCTTGTCCGCCTGCAACATCGTGTCCGCACCAATCGGCGGCTGGCTTTGCGACCGGTGGGGTGTGCGTCCGGTCGGATGGATCGGATTGACCAGCGTTGCCGTGGGACTGTTCGCGATGTCGGCGCTAAATTCAGACTCCGCGATCTGGCACCCGGCCGCCACCATCGCCATGGTTGGATTGGGCGTCGGATGGTTCCAGTCGGCGGCCTACGCCCTGATGCTGGGCAGCGTGCCGGCCGACCGCTACGGCACTGCATCCGGCGCAATGTCGCTGGCGCAGGCTTCGGGAACCGTGTTTTGCGTCGCGGTCGTCGGCGCGATTTTCGCTGCCCTCAGTGACCAATATGCCGCTAGCTCCGCCATCAACTCGGATCAGGCGTTCCTGCTGGCCTACCGGGATGCTTTCCGCATCGGGGGAACCACCGCGGTCATCGGCGCCGGCCTGTTCGCCGTGTTCGCCCGCCAGCCAACCATAGCAGTCCCCGCTCCCACGCTGGGAGAAAACTAGGGTGTGTTGATAAATGCCGCCATTCCCGCGCAATTCCTCTCGTCCTTCCCGCGAAAGCGGGAAACCCGCACCCGCCTGTCATTGCGAGGAGCGATAGCGACGCGGCAATCCCGTCCCGTCCCACACTCCAAAATCCAGTCCATCCATGTCGGAATCGGCTCCCCTCTCCCTTGATGGGAGAGGGCTTGGGTGAGGGTGAGCCCCCCGTTCGTCCTGAGCCTGTCGAAGGATCATCGAGTACCCGTCGAAATGCCTCACCCGCCTGTCATTTGTATGTTGCAAGTGTCCCGCGAATGGGCCAATTTGCGGGGTAGGTGGGAGGGGCGCGTCGTCTGTCATTAGGTGGGCCGGGCGTGACAGCTTGGTTGCACCGTCTCGCAGTAGGACACCCCTCCCATAAGGCGTCGGGCTGCTCCGAACGGATACACGGGTGGTTGTCCCGCAATGCAAGTGTGGAGGGTCCCAGCGCCGCCATTATCACACATATCACACCAGGATCAGGGAGGCGACCGATGATGCAATCGACGGCAGGGATTGACGTGGGCAAAAGGGAACTGGACGTGTCGGTGGACGGAGATCGCGCGCGACGCTTTGCCAACACCGTGGCTGGGGTTGCTGAGTTAGTGGGTTGGTTGGGGTCCCAGGGCCCGCTGCTGGCGGTTTGTGAAGCCACTGGCGGATATGAAGGATTGGTGGTGGAGGCGTTGCGCCAAGGTGGAGTACCGGTGCATATCGCCCATCCCAACCAGGTGCGAGCCTTTGCTCGGGCCTGTGGTTATCAGGCCAAGACCGACGGTTTGGACGCCATGGTGCTGTCTCGGTATGGCCAGGTCTTCCAACCGGCACCCACCCTGGCCCAGGAGGCGGACCGAGGCCAGTTGCAGGATCTCCTGCGCCGACGGGAGCAGTTGGTCGGCCAGCGCACCCAGGAGAAGAACCGGTTGTCCCGGGTTCACAATCCAGCGGCCCAGGATTCCGTACGAAGGCACATCGCCTGGTTGGACCAGGAGATCGGGATGCTGGATGATCAGTACCAGGAACTCCTGGATTCAGGAACTCCTGGAGCAGAACGTGGAGTTTCGGCGACAGGTTGCGGTGTATCGCAGCGTGCCGGGTGTGGGTGTCCAGACCGCCGCCGCCCTGGTCGCCTGGTTGCCCGAGTTGGGCCGGTGTGACGGAAAGGCATTGGCCGCCCTGTGTGGCGTGGCGCCCTGGTCTCGGGACAGCGGTCAAAAGCGCGGGCTACCGATCCACCCGTGGCGGACGCCGGCCAGTACGACGCGTGCTGTACTTGGCCAGCATGGCCTCAATCCGCAGCGCCGAGGGGTTGGGACACTTCTACCGGCAACTGCGTCAGCGGGGCAAACCGGGCAAAATGGCCCTGGTGGCAGTGATGCGGAAGTTGTTGCTGCAACTCAACGCCGTAGCTCGTCGCGGTACCCCTTGGACCGCCCAATTCCCACCCACCACCCGATCCTCTCTTGACACACAACACAGATACTGCGAGGAGTGTCAGCGACGTGGCAATCTCGCAACATCTGAGTCGCCCCAATGGCAATCGTATCGCCACGTTTTGTTACCACCAACGGCGCGACATCCCCAAAATGCTGACATTATGCTATATTACTAATAGCAATATATACTATCAAATGAAGAGCCAGTGAGTCGGTAAGGAGAAACATCAAACGTAGCCAGTGATCCAGTCGGCCAAATCGCAGCAGGAGGTGTCATGATGACCTTGCACAAGAAAATTATCGTCCCGCTCGATGGTTCCGAATTGTCCGATCAGGCATTGCGGCCGGCAATGCTCATGGCGGAAACCACCGGAGCAACGGTCAACCTGGTGCGCTGTTTCGCTTCCATACCCAGGTGGCAGGTCGACCGTTACCAGGGTAGGCACAGCGGCTCCATGTCGGAATCGGAGCATGTCCGCATCACCGCCTGGTTGAAGGCACACAAACTCCGGTTGGCAAAAGACGGTTCAACCGTCCCGATCGAGGTCTCCGCCCACGAAGGCCCGGCCGTGGAACACATCACCCGCCTGGCAAACCAAGAGCCGGACGCCCTGATCGTCATGTCCACCCACGGACGTGGCGGCCTGTCCCGCCTCATCATGGGTAGTGTAACCAGTCGGGTGGTCAGGGCAGTTCGCAACCCGATGTTCATCGTCCGGAGTACCGAAACTGACATGCTCAATACTCCGGAAGTCATCGACCGCATCATCGTCCCGCTGGATGGTACGACGTTCTCAGAGGCAGCGCTGTCCCACGCCGGGGCTTTGGCGGCAAGCTTTGGAGCCAGGGTAACGCTCTACCAAGCAACCCACGGCGCCGGATTCTTCCAGTCCAATTCCGAGTGGGTGGGCTCCAACGGTGAGGCAGGGTTCGAATTCAGCAGCCCCTCGAAAATGGCCACCGAACTCGCCGTCCAGTCAATGAACTACCTTTCGGACTGTGCCGACAGCCTGAAGGCGGAATTCGGACTTACCCGCGTGGACGTTGTAAATTCCCAGGAGAATGCGGCGGACGCCATTGTCAGGTTGGCCGGGGATTCTGACAATGGTTTGGTGGTAATGACCACCCATGGCCGTGCCGGAGTGGGGCGGGCGTTGCTCGGCAGCGTCGCCGACCGGGTCGTGCGTGCGTCTCCCGTTCCCACCCTGCTGGTTCAGGAACCAGCCGTCCACGGCGATATGTCTGTCGGGCGGAGCGTGGACAACCTGGTGGGCGCTGTCTTGTAGTTAGCTGTCTTGTAATCATAAGGACGGCAGTCCACCGAACCGAAAAGGGGGCGACCCAGCGGGCCGCCCCCTTTTCTTTCTGGTCCGCTTTCGCGGCGTTTCATCCCATCCCAGTCGCCACTGGCGATCACCATTTATGAATTACGGGCAGTACCTCTTTACCGAACAGGTCGATGTTCTTCATGGTAGCTTCGTGGCCCATGCGGGATTCCTGCCCGTAGAAAACCAGGTGTTCCATCCCTACGCGCTGGTGCAGATACTCCAGTTTTTCCAGCACGGTATCCGGAGTTCCGCACACGATGTGATAGTTCTCCTTCAACTCCTCGAAAGTCTGTTGCCCCAACGGTTTCAACCCCGTCCTGCGGGCGGCGATTGCCGACCCGGCGGCGGAACGGTAGCCCGTCGGCGCCATGTACTCCCGCGGCCCGCGCAGCGTGGGACCCATGCGCCATAGAAAGTGCTTTGCCTGCTCGTCGGCCTCTTCCTGCGTGTCGCCCACGTAGCAGCACAGCAGGTATCCGAAATTGTCCGGAGTTGCCTGCCGCCCAACGGATTCGGCCGCTTCGCGGTACATGTCGAATAATTCTGCGGTAACGTCAAGGTCGGTCAGGAAGGCAACGTAGGTATACCCATGCTCGCCCGACCACTGCGCCGTCTCCGGCGACGAAGTTCCAGGCATCCAGATGGGAGCGTGCGGTTTCTGGATCGGCACCATCCAGGGATTAACCGCGCGGAAGTTGTAATGCTTTCCTTCCCACCGGAACGGACCCGGCTCTGTCCATGTCTTGATCACCAGGTCGTGGCATTCTTCAAACCGCTCTCGATTGGCCAGCGGGTTGTTGTTGGTGGATACGGTTTCCACCCCGGTGCCGCGGACAAAACCGGAAATCAGTCGGCCACCTGAAATAACATCGATCATCGCCAACTCTTCGGCCAGCCGCACCGGATTGTCATGTATGGGCAGGATGTTGCCCAACAGCAGTATCTTGGCCTGGTGAGTTATGCGCGCCAGCACCGCCGCCGACAGGTTGGTTGCCGCGTTCATGCACGATGGCGTGCTGTGGTGCTCGTTGAGCATAATGCCGTCGAATCCCAGCTCGTCGGCGTATACGCATTCATCGAAATAACGCTTGAAAAGGTCGTTGGCCGTGGCCGGATCGAACCACGAATTGGGAAACGTCAGGCGTAACGACGGATACTTGTCGCCCTCTTCGTCGGGATATGCGTGGTACGGAAACTCGGAGAAGTAGTAACTCTTCACGGAATCGTGGCCTCCTGGACAGCAAAATCAACGGGAGCCCGTTCGCGATTTACGGTCGCAACGTACAGCAATGCTCGGTGACGCGGGCGGGCAAATAATAACACAGGGGTACCGGGCGACACCCGGGTCCGCGCAGCCCCGCTGTTATAATGTTGGAGCAGGATCGCCCAAACGATGACCACCATACACACCATTGAAGACCTGATTCGCGTTCTGGACGAGAACCCCCAGTGGGCCGAAGCGCTTCGGGCCCGTCTGTTGACGCGCGAACTGCTGGAGCTCCCTGAGACGGTGGCTGCTCTGGCGGCTACTGTTGCCGAGTTATCCCGGGAATTTCGGGAGTTCGCCAAATCCACCGGAGATCGGTTGTCCTCACTCGAGGCGGGGCAACAGGAACTGCGCGCTGATGTCACCGAGCTGCGCGCCGATGTCACCGAGCTGCGCACCGACGTGAATGAACTGAAGATCGGTCAACAGGAACTGCGCGCCGACGTCAATGAACTGAAGATTGGTCAACAGGAACTGCGCACCGACGTCGACGACCTCAAGCGTGGACAAGCGAGATTGCAGGATGATGTTGGGTTCATCAAGGGCAGGTTCATCTACGATATCGTCCGTGGCGACGCCGGAGTCATCGCCGGCGAAATGGGTTTTGCCCTGGCACATACCCTAACCCGCGCCGATCTCATGAACATTACCCGCCTCCAGGAAACCACCGATATCCCGCGCGGAGATATGCAGAGCTTCCATCGTGCCGACCTCATCATGCAGGTCACCGACTCCGAGAACCGCCCGCACTATATCGCTGTGGAGGCATCGTTCACCGTCAACGGGAGAGACTCCCGGCGTGCTTTACGCAACGCCGAGTTGATCACCCGCTTCACTGGCCAACCCGCCCATCCCGCGTTGGCCGGTGTGCGATCCGACCAGGACATCCGCCAATTGTTCGAGTCTGGCCAATTGTATTGGTACGAGATCTCGTCGGAAGATGTCCAGCCCGAATAACCTGTTCCTCGTTATGCCCCCAATGAGCCGGGATTAATTGGGCACCCGGCGCACATCGCTCCTTTGCTGCCGGGGACGCAGGCATGTTTCGGCTCACCCGCCGGCGCCGCAGCGTCCAGCGTAGCGCGTAGCAGAGGCGAGGTCACAGGCGGTATCGCCATCCCCTCCGACTCAGCGATGCGCCGGTCTTGCGCCTCCCCGAACAAATCCATCCGTAACTGTTTGCCCGATGGCGGACGCTGACCCGGGAAAACGACGTACGGCCAGGCACGTTTGCGCACTACCCCCATCGCCTGCAGGTCGCGCCAGCTGTCAACCGTGTGCCGCCTCCGGCTTCGGATGATCCGCTCGGCGGAAACCGGCCCGATGCCGGGAATCCGCAGCAGCCTCTCTTTGCTTGCGACATTCAGATCCATCGGAAAAGCATCCAGGTTCTCCATGGCAATGACCGTCTTCGGGTCCTGCTCCAGCGACAGGAACCCACCGTTGTCGAAAGCCAGGTCGATCTCGCTGGACTCGAACCCATATACCCGCAGCAGCCAGTCCATCTGATACAAACGATGCTCCCGGGCGGCCGGCGTCGGTGGATGTTCTTGCATCGGAGTGCCCCACGCTGGTCGGAAGGGCGGGTAGTAAACCCGTTTCAGGTTCCAGTCGGTATACATCTGGTCCACGCGCCGGTAGATTTGCCGATCCGACTCCTCAGCGGCGCCAACCACGAACTGGGTCGCCTGCCCCACGGCCCCGCCGCGGCTTTCCCGGGTCAGTTCATCGATCCACGACATGGGGTCCAGGATGTCTTTCTGGAGGTCTTTGTGCGGACTGATGCGCCGCAGCAGGTCGGCTTCGGGCGTTTCGATGTTGACCGACAGTCGAGTGCCCAGACGGTGCGCCGCTTCCACCAGATGTCGTTCGGCTCCAGGCATTACTTTCATGTGGATGTACCCGTTGAAGCCGTGCTTCCGGCGGATCAGTTCCACCGTTTCCACCAGGTGTTGCGTGGTTTTGGAACCGTCGCCGGCGATGCCAGAGCTGTAGAGCCTGTTTACAATCTTTTTAGGATTAGCACCGTGAAGGCAAGCACCACCATTTGCAGGCTGGTATTGAGCTTTCTTTCGCAGTTCTTCCAGAGTCGGCGGCACTTTTCCAGCCAGGCGAAAGACCGCTCCACCACCCATCGCTTCGGCAGCACCACGAAGGTGTGCAGTTCGTTGCGTTTCACCACTTCCACCGAGGCTCCCAACAGGCCTTGCACCGCAGTGGCAAAGGGCTTCCCGGTGTAACCCCCGTCCACCAGCACCTTCTGGACCTGGCTGAGGCCGGACCGGTTTTCGTCAAACATCGCCAAAGCCCCAGCCCGGTCGGTAACGTCGGCGGTAGTCACGTGTATCGCATGGGGCAATCCTTGCGTGTCCACCGCGATGTGACGCTTGATTCCGGACACCTTCTTGCCCGCGTCATAGCCCTTGCTATCGGCGGTGTCCGTGTTCTTGACGCTCTGGGAGTCCACGATACAGAAGCTGGTCTGCTCTTTCCGTCCATTGCTTTGTCGGGCCGCGCCAACCGATTTTTTTTAGGACTTGCTCCAGAATGGAATCCTGACCTGGGCCAGGCCGCTCGCTCCATTGCCGGAAATACTTGTAGCAAGTGCGCCAATTGGGGAAGTCCACGGGCAGCATTCGCCATTGGCACCCGCTTTTCAAGAGGTACAGTACGCCGCAGAAAACGTCATACAAGTCCACGGTGCGGGGCTTGGTCCGGCGGCGGGCCGACTCCAACGTCGGCAGAATCCGGACGAATTGCTCCCGGCTGATGTCGCTGGGATAGGAATGAGACATGATTACCCCTCCCCTGGTGATAGTCTCAACTTAACCTATTTCAGAGATCGTAGACAGGTTCTAAGGAACAACCCGTGCACAGTCTGCCGGGAATGTAGCTCCATGAACGTGCTCGCCAGCTCCTCCCGTTTGAAAGCGTAGCGTTTTCGCGGCACGTAGATGCTGTTGGGACAATACGCGCAGTCCATCATGGAAAAGTCGGTGAACATCACCCGCATCAGGTTGATGCGCTTCCCATTGGGCAGACTGGAGCGGTACACGCCGGCCGTTGGGTTTTTGCGTGGGTCGGAATATGCCACCCGGTCAGGCCCCGTAGTGACCTTTCCACCGGTCAATATGTCGTCGGTGGCCATGCCGCCCAGGATGTGAAGTTTCTCGTAACGGTCGGGGGTTTTCTTGATAAGCATAACGTTCGTCCTCCGCTCCGGCGCGCAGCCTTGGGCGCACTGATGTAACGAACGTATGTTCTTATACCGCGGCTCCGGACGTCAACCGGTAACTGTCACCGGAACGCCCCACCCCGGCTAGGAACTTGTCTGACTGATCAGGCGATGGCGTGAGTCGGGGGTCATTTCGTATCGCCGTGGTTTCTCGCTGGCGATAAGAACACCTTCCCCTTCCATCAACGGCCACAGATGCTCGGCGAACCACATGCCAAACCGTTGCGCCGAAAAGGATGCTGTCATGTGCGCCGGCCAACGCGCTGCGATGGCGGCCTGGGCTTCTGAAGCCTTGAAAACGTCGTCCGGTATGCTGTCCACCACTTCTGCAACCAGCTGTTCCAGCGTAGGTTCTTCACCAGGGCGCTCACGGTTGGGTTGGCGTCGCGGCGACGGGGCAGCCGCTTCGGTCGTTGATCCCGAGGCCGGTTGTTCCGGTTCCACACCGCCCGATTT